AACACTCCTTTGTGCCCCGGGCTGGAGTTTGTGTCACGTCAGAGAGGACATCAGTTTTCGACGCCTCAGCAGCCTTGAAGGTACGGACCTGTCCATCCTATGGCTGCGCGTAGACAGCGACGACCATCCCCGCGTCTACGGGTGCCTCTATAGGTCCCATAGCGGTAATGCCGACACAGACCGACTCATCGACCACGTCCAAATGGCTGCAGACTCCGTGCTACAACAGGTCCCATCCGCAGAGATCGTGATACTCGGTGATTTCAACGCCCACCACGCTGAATGGCTTGGTTCTCGTTTAACCGATCATGCGGGTAGATCTGTCTACGACTTTGCTTTGGCATATGGTCTAACACAACTGGTTACTTCGCCTACGCGGATCCCAGATATGGAAGACCATGTACCTTCCCTGTTGGACCTACTGCTGACCTCTCATCCGGACGGATATCAGGTCTCCGTCGATGCCTCTCTGGGCTCTTCGGACCATTGTCTGATCCGGAGCACGGTGCCACTCACGCTCCAATCGCAGTTGCGATCTGCAGCTTGCCGCCGTGTTTGGCACTATAGGTCAGCTGATTGGGACGGGATGCGGTCTTTTTTTGCATCCTACCCTTGGGGGCGGGTTTGTTTCTCGCCGGAAGATCCCAGCGTTGTTGCCGATTCTGTTTCTGATGTGGTACTTCAGGGTATGGAACTTTTTATTCCATCCTCTGTGGTGCCCATCGGAGGCAGATCCCAGCCATGGTTTGGTCGCTCCTGTAAAATAGCATCACGCTATAAGCACCGGGCTACCGGTGCTACCGGTGCTACCGGGCCTGGGCTGACGCATCAACGTCTCGGGATTTAAACACCAGCGCACTTAAAAAGAAGTATAATTCCGCCTCCAGGTCCTTCAAAAGCGTCATTGCCAAGGCAAGGTCTGAGCACATCGGCAGAATTGGCGAGAAGCTAGTTCGCCTTCCTTCGGGAACCCGTTCATTCTGGTCTCTCGCCAAGGCTGTCCAAGGGAACTTCTGTCAGCCATCCCTTCCATCTCTGCACAGAGAGGACGACTCACTGGCCCATGCTGCAAAAGAGAAAGCCGATCTGTTGTGCTCTCTTTTTGCGTCTAACTCGACTCTAGATGACGGGGGGAACACACCGCCGACCATCCCGCGATGTGGGTGCTCCATGCCGGATGTGCGATTTACACAGCGCTCGGTTCGCAAAGAACTCTTCTCCCTGGACGTCAGCAAGTCGAGTGGGCCCGATGGAGTCCCTCCCATTGTGCTGAAGACGTGTGCTCCGGAGTTGGCACCGGTTTTAACGCGTCTTTTTCGGTACTCCTACTCCCAAGGCGTAGTCCCGAATTCACGGAAGACAGCTTTGGTCCACCCGATCCCTAAAAAAGGCGACCGCTCAGACCCGTCCAACTACAGGCCTATCGCCATCACCTCCTTGTTCTCCAAAATAATGGAGTCCATTATAAATTGCCAGGTCATGAGGTACCTTGAGGATCACCAGCTGATCAGTGACCGTCAGTACGGTTTTCGTCGGGGTCGATCAGCAGGTGATCTTCTAGTTTACTTAACTCATAGATGGGCGGAGGCAGTAGAGTCCAAGGGGGAGGCATTGGCCGTTAGTTTGGACATAGCGAAGGCCTTCGATCGGGTCTGGCACAAGGCGCTTCTTTCGAAGCTTCCTTCCTATGGGCTTCCCGAGAAATTGTGCAAATGGATCACCAGTTTCCTTGCTGATCGGAGCATCAAGGTCGTAGTAGACGGTGCATGCTCTGATTTCAAGCCTATCAACGCTGGTGTTCCACAAGGCTGCGTGCTATCACCAACGCTGTTTCTCCTGCATATCAATGATATGTTGCTAACTGGTAGCATTCATTGCTATGCAGACGACAGCACTGGGGATGCCTTATATACCGGCCGTGCCAATATTTCTCGGGAAAACGTCGCCGAGTACCGGGACAAACTTGTGTCTGAAGTCGAGTCTTTGCTTAACAAAGTCTCGAATTGGGGCCGACTAAATCTAGTCCAGTTCAATCCCCAGAAGACACAAGTTTGCGCGTTTACCGCTAAAAAGAACCCCTTTGTCGTATCTCCTCAGTTTCAAGGCACTCCCCTTGCTGCCTCAGCCAGTATCGGAATCCTTGGCGTCGACATATCGAACAGCGTGCAGTTTCGTGGTCACTTGGAAGGGAAGGCCAAATTGGCCTCTAAAAAGCTTGGCGTGCTCAGCAGAGCGAGACAGTATTTCATGCCGGCACATCGCTTGCAACTTTACAAAGCGCAAGTTCGGCCCCACATGGAATACTGTTCTCATCTCTGGGCCGGGGCACCCCAGTGCCAGCTCCTTCCACTTGACCGCATCCAGCGCAGAGCGATTCGAATCGTCGACGACCGAGTTCTTTCCGATCGGCTCGATACACTGGCACTGCGTAGAGATGTTGCATCTCTTTGTGTATTTTGTCGCATCTATCACGGGGAGTGCTCTGAGGAATTGTTCGGACTAATTCCAGTCGCTCAATTTCACTATCGTACATCGCGACAAAACTCGCATTACCATCCATACCATCTGGATGATTGGCGGTCGACCACTGTGCGATTTAGAAGAAGTTTTCTTCCTCGCACAACTTCTTTGTGGAATCAATTACCACCAGCGAATTTTCCGAACCGATACGACTTAGGAACCTTCAAGAAAAGAGCTTACACCTTTCTAAAAGGCCGGCAACGCATCTGCAATTCCCCTGGTGTGGCGGTTGTTCATGGGCAGCGGTAGTCACTTGCTCGTGACTACCGCCACAACATGCTCGTTTGCCTCCTATTCTATAATAAAAAAAGAAAACATGAGCTATAGTCATTATTTTTTCGTCGTCCAACCGTCAGTAATAAAATTTTGGACCTAATCCTAGTATATCATGCAAAAATGCCCGATATATCGATCTATTTACCACGCGATATATTTATCGATACTATTTAAAAATATCGATATGTTTTTTTCCCTTGCCCATCCCTCCATGTTCCTATGGCTTTTTCATAAATATATTTTAAATACCATACCGCCATACTCCCATACCGTTCGAACGTTGTCAACTTATTGCTTGCGAACGTTATAGGCATAGTACAATTAACTTACAGTAGTTAGCGCGCGTATCGTACTGACAAATTAAATTGAAAGTTATATAATTATCATTTAATTTTAATACGTGGTAGAGCCATGCTGCAGCTATATTAGTAGTATAGTTGTAGCACGAAAGGGTCGCCTCGACCGGGGAAGGACCACGCTCTCACAGAATACCAGCGTAAAATAGCAGCTTAACACTGCTGTGTTTCGTATGATGAGTGTAGACAACCGGAGACCCGTTTTACTGGAAAAGAGGCGTTCCATCTTAGTCCTCACGGGTGACAACGCATCTGCATTTTGATTCACAAACGAGGACAGATGTAGATGTCTATGGGCTACAGCAGCCACTTACCATCAGGTGGACTGTGTGCTCGCTTGTCACCCTATCCTATAAAAAAAATACATTTATTAACATACCTCATTAAACAATATAACTCTTCCAAATTTAAAATTATATTTCCACAATTATTTCTTCCGCGGCAGCAAATCGCCGGGTACCAACTAGTCGTTAAAAATCTATTCTTAATAATTCTTGCAGCCCGGATGTCCTCTTACAGTTTGGTTTAATAGATCAAACGAAGAATATAAATTGCTTTATTAAAATCAATTTGGTTTTACAAGGGCTCGGTCGCCAACCGGTGGCGCCGGTGTTTATTAAAACTGAGGGGACGCTCTGGGTATATTTTTGGGATCTTTCCTGTATTAGAATGTGTTCCGTTACCGTTATATAAATTGCCTCATAGGATATCTGGCACAGTTGCCACTTGCCACGCTTGGCAATCGGGTTGGCAACCGCAGTTTTTTATTATTAGTCGTTATTAGGTAGTCGCTACTGCCCATCTCCTGATTTGTTTCCCTCTGTCGCCTCTTACGAAACCCACAGAATGATATGGGGTAGTAAAAATATCCATCTTACACCGCTACTACATGGTAGACTGGTGTGTCTCTTCTATGTGTTGGGAGTAAATGTGCTGGGATTAGTGGTGACGGGGATAGTGCAAGCAAATGAGGTAGGGTAGAAAGTGCTCTTCAAAGTCAACTAAACACATCATTTTATTTTATTACGTGGATATAAGCAAATTAATTTTTAAGATCTTTAATATAATGCATTTCCGCAAAGTAACGCCAGATCCTATTAATTATATTGAATATTTTTATTTTAATTATGCTGTAGTTTTCTAATAAAAAAATTTAATATTTATTTATATAATATCTTGTGCAGATATTTGCATACTGTAATCTATAACTGCAGTAAGTAGCTTTTAATTTATTATGTAAGATATTTTTGTGGATTTCTTTTCTTGTTTGGAGTTCTATTTTATTAATTAATCGTGGTGCCTGGAGATAGGGATCTCGGAATATTTTATTTGCTGCAGCTTGAAAAAACACATAGAATAGTCGATTTTGTTACAAAAGAAGGCAGTTTGTATTCAAAGATTGGTGGCGCCATCAACCATCATCAACCTCACCCTCGGGCACGATATTATATGCCTATGCATATAATATCGTGCCCGAGGATTTTCTCTAGTTTTCTTTCTATTGATATAAAATACTTACCAATTTAAAAACTTTGCAGTTTAACAAAATATGTAGACATAAAATTCAGTAAACATCTCATCATCATAATTAATAAAATTAATAGGGGTCGATTGTTAGACCTCGTCGACTCCCAAAATTAGTTTTCGTTTATGACGAACCCTGGGAAACCGATTTCGAACCCAAGGGGTCGATATCGATCACTTTGGGAATCCCTACCATAAATGATTATCTTGGGTCTAAGTATCTTGATACTACAACAAAAATAGACGTAAGTCGGCTGTAATATATAGAAGAGCCCCATTCAAGCTAAATTTCGAAATTTTTAATGAAGATAAAATTAAACTTACCACAGCTCCGGGGAGTACGGCGGTGATGTGGTGACCAGCGAAGGAGGCGGCATAAGCGCATCGTTCGACAGCTGTCAAAAAAAATAATAGCTAACTAAATTCTGCACGACCTATTTCTCCTCGTCATCCGTCCCGACTCCACAATGTAAAATTTGTAGAGCATAGTATGGACTAGAGTTAGACTCAAATTTTGATGTTGTGGGATTTGAGTTCAACTTCGAGATCTTCTCTGAATATTGGGCCTTAATCAACATGTTGGCAACTGAACAGACAGATCCCTAAATAAACATGTTGGCAACTGAACAGACAGATCCCTAAATACATGTGCCAAATTTACGCAACGTCAACACGGTTTGTATCGAAGAAGCGGTTGAGCGGTGCTAAGACTGCCTGCAGGCAAGAGCCAACTGTCGAAATGGAAGAAAAACACCTGAGATTTTGAGAATGATTGAGAAGATCTATGAACAGCTGTGCATTCCTTCGATAGAGCCCCACGCAAGTGTGAGTAACGACCCAAGAGTTACTCTAATGTTGATAATTGTTAGTCTTTCTTTGGAAAAAATCTCACCGTAGTAAGCACGGTGGCCTCACATCCCGGCTGGTATTTCTCGAGATCGGAACGAGGTCTTCGCATCACCTTCTCGCGGTCTTGTTTATGCTTTCTGTCTGCTCCTTTCAATTTGAACACCTGCAAATAATTTGAAATCAGTATATTATGCTCCTTTAAACAACCCGTTATCAAAATGAACATGGAGTAAAGTAACAGGCTACATGCATCACACAGCTGCACAAAGGTCTGCAGCACTATTCCAGTGCGAACTGGCGTATTTCATATGACCTTAAAATAATTTTAAATCCTAAGACTAAGAGGATTTATTCTGGGTGTTTTCCTTTATCGCTGGTCTGTGGTCTAGGTCTGAGCACAAGTTTACGATACAACCTTTTTCGAATCTGGTTGCTCGCGTATTATGTAGTTTTATACGCCCGGCAAATGAGTTATAAGGCTCAAATGTACAAGAATATTTAAAAAATGTTTATGGCATCTGGTTTACAAAATAGTGACGAATGAGCTCTCATTGCAGCCTACTCTGAAGCAATTTTTTTTAATCTTAGTCTACGCATAAGAAAAAATATAGGGGAAAGAATAACGCCTTGCGGCACTCCGGACTGCATATCAGACCAGGCCAAAACACGCTGTCATAAGGCGAACGAAATCGTTAATAGTGACCGTGGTGGTCAAACTAGAAGGCTGAGTACGAAAGTAAAATAAGGTTTTTATAGTTAAGGAGAAGGATATTGTGATAAACTGTGTTAAAAGCTTTTGAAAATTTAACAAGTGTTTCCAATTACTTAAATATTCATTATAAATCATATTACCTTGATCTGACAGGCAGCGGCGTGAAGGCGGGTAAGGTCGTCACTGGCGAGGTAAGTTTCAACTTGTATGCGGAAAGGCACGCCTTTCTCACCGCCATGTTTCTTAGCCGTAAATTCTGTGGAGATGCAGTTCACCTGAAAAATAAGAATTTATTTAACTTCTCCTTTCTTTTTTCTTCTTTTTAATCAGCCCTCAACATTAAGTTGCTGAAAATGAATCTCATTGTTGGCAAAAGCCTTCATGGCCATGCTTGGCACGCAGGTTGGCAATCACAATATTTCATGTCTTGTATTTACGCTGTAAGCAACGCTGCTCGGCGTCACCGGTTTACGTAATTTAGATCTGGCATATACGAGATGGTATATTGCCATTTGTCGGAGGCAATGACGCCTTTTTTGGCTTCCTCATAGTGGCTTTACACTACACCTCACGGGACAAAATCATACGGTAAGATATCAATAAATGAACTTATAAATAAGAGGTTGCTTTTGGATCGTCATTAAATAATGGTTCTTGTTAGAATTGAATAGAGTAAGATTTACCTTGATGTAGACACCAACATCCTTGGTCGGATCCCAGAACACATGGAGGGCGTTGAGGCTTGCCGGATGTTCCACTCTGATCACACCATACGACAGAGGCACGTCCACCTACAAAGGAGATACTAGTTTTTAACAGCCAAACAAAATAGTTTTCAAATTTAGATAAATACAATAGTTGAATTCAAATATATTGTTTTCAGTTAAGACTTTTTTCGTGCTGATATTTTTTTATGTAATATTTTTTTATTTAAATTTTATGATATATTTATATGAAGGTAAAAACTACTTTCACTTTGAAAATTAATCCAAATCCTCAGTGAGCAACAGAAACCTACCTCGACACATTAGGCACTACACTAGGAAACGTATTTTTCATTATCTTTTCATTTTCCTTTGTTTAAATAAAAGCTCACCTCAACGATTCTCTCGCCGGGCCGTTCGGCGTGCCATTGCGCGATCTGCTCGCGCTCCATGTACTGCAACCGCCGCTCGTGGAAACAAATCTTGATCACGCTCTAAAAAAAATATTAATTTATCAAAGTGTACACGAATCTTCGCATCTAGAGAAATGTAGTCTTTTTTACTTATATTTTAAATACTGTAAAAGGTTGTTATAAAAGTGATAACCATTTATTCATTTCAGCCTATAAAAGTCCACTGCTAAACATAGGCGACCCCCATAGACTTACGCATAGCGGAGATTTTGCCATAGATGCAATCGAAGTTTTTTATAATATTGAATAGTTATCAGGAATACGCTGCTGCCCATCTCCTGTTTCAGTTTCCCTCTGTCGCCTCTTTCGACACCCGAGGGGCGATATGGGGTACCACAAAAAGAAAGAGGTTCTCAAGTGTATGTTTTTTTTGGTATGTATATTACGCTATATCGTTGCAGATTATGAACCAATTTTTATGATTATTTTTTATTAAATAGGTTATAATTCAAAGGGTGAAAAAGTAAAGAGAAAATCTTCACCCCTAACGGTAGTAAATAAATAACTTCTTTTTCAGCAATTTGCAGTCGGTTTTTTCTTTTTGTTAAAAGTTATAATTATTATGTGTAACTTTCATTGTTTGTTAGCACCCGAAAAGTTTTAACCAATAATGAAAGTGATATTGTTTGTCATGGCGAGTGCGTGAATATACTGTCGTCGTGTAATGGCGCCGTAAAACAATCCACTACCATATATCATTCCGTGACTGTTGTAATGAAACAGGGGATGGGCAGCATCTTCCCGATGCCAACCCAAACGTGGCAACTACATTATAATAAATATCCTCCCTATGAGGCAATCTCTGGGGGAGCATAAAATGCAATAGTCTTTTGATAGTCAGTGAATGAATATAATACATATATTATATTTATTTGTCTGTGAGTGAGTACGTGCAAGTGTGCGTGCGTATGCGTGCACAATTGTATGTTTGTTCATTAATGATTTTGCCTTTTTTTTTAAAGAGAACCATTACCCTGAATATTTTGCCTTTATAGTGTGAGAGATCGCCGAGTTTCTTGAGTTTGATCTCGTAAGGTTGGCCTTGATTGAGATAGGTCAGCGTCTCTTCGTTCTGTTTCGTGGCGATAGACGTAGCCGCAGCCAGTACGTACTGGAACCTGACAAAAAAAGGCACTCGTAATAAAGTTGAAGTCACACCTGTGTTTTAACTAATTTTATTCCCTTTTCTCTTTTAACCATATCTTCTAGTAACCTTTAAAAACTGTCAATCTCTGTTTAATATAACGGTAGTGCGTGTTCTCCTATCATCATTCTAAGAAGTGCTTAGAAGGATTTTTAGAGTGGTATTGAATAACTATTGAATTTATTACTCGATAAATTAAGATTTAAAAAATACATTTACTCGTAATATAGCTATTATAGTCTCCACTATAATGTTTCCCGCAAGATCATATTTTAAAGGCTAGTAAAGTACCAAAAATTGATTTTGACGATCGATCGACACTGCTTCTTTCGTATTTTGCGTTTTAACATCCAACAAATATGAATAAAAATGGAGACTTTCTAAATAAATACCTAATCTATAGTAAATATGTCTTTTATTGAGCATTACGTATTAATATTTGCATATTGTTTTTTATAGGGCACGCCTCATAACGCGAAGCATTATTTAGGTATTGCTTTACTCTCGACACGTCAAGGTCAAGCTATTTTGTGTTCTTAAAATGCCTCTATTATAACCACATTGCACTTATACGATAATATGAGTAGCCGTATATCAAGAAAATACTCTAACTAATCCATATTATACTTTCTAAAAAATCATTACATGTTACTACGTTGAAAAAAAAAGGTTTGAAAAATTTTTTACGTGGACGTTCGCATGTTGATTTTGTATGTGGTCACGATAACTCCCGAAAAAGAGACCTGTTTTTTTTTATTAGCTTCAGAATTACATCAACTGGTTTCTGATTTCATATCAATACACCTAGTAAACTACTACTAAACTACGTGAGTTTGTTATAAATTTTTTTTTATAGGATAGGGTGACAAACGAGCATACAGTCCACCTGATGGTAAGTGGTTGCTGTGGCCCATAGACATCTACATTTATCCTCGTTTGCGTATCAAAATGCAGATGCGTTGTCACCCGTGAGTACTAAGATGGAATGCCTCTTTTCCAGTAAAAAGGGTCTCCGATTCTCTACACTCACCATACGAAACACAGCAGCATTAAGCTGCTATTTTACGCTGGTATTCTGTGAGAGCGTGGTCCTTCCCCGGTCGAGTGGCTCATTCTTGCTACAACTATACTACTAATATAGCTGCAGCATGGCTCTACCACGTAAAAAAATGATTTTCAACTTTTATAAGTTTAATTGCTATTAAAAATTCATAGGCACTTTCATATTTTTTAGGCCTTGATAGACAAAGGACAAATATACCATACATCCTGTATCGACTTTATACTTTGTGTTATCGATTAATTTTGGTAATTTAATTTTTTAATCAAAATGAAATGAAACACTCATGAGGCGTGCACTTTTGGATTTTCCAAACTATTTAATTTATTCTAATGAGGATACATCATCTATTGCCCGTAAGCTACGTTTGATATATCCATTTAAGTAATGGATGGAATCGAATGAATGAAAGGTTTGTATTTTTCATACATGGGAAATTGGAGAGTAGAGAGTAGGGTTAAAATGATAAGATTAAAGCTATCACAAATTCAATTCTGAAAAAACGTCTATTTAGTGAATTGTATAGATGGCTCTGTTCTAAATGATATTAATCAAGAGACTAAAACTAAAAATTTTATTGCCTTACCTTGTGTCGTCTTTGAAGCTAGGCTCGGAGCGCTGCTGTACAGGTGAGTGCAGAAAACCGTCCAGCGAGTTCACAGGCGAGCACATCAAGAGTCCTGCGTCTGTATGTTCATTTGTTTTTATTTAATCACAGACCAAAGAAAGATAGACGAGAACGATGCGTACATTACTAGTGACATAGAAACCAAGTCAAAACCATCAACTTATTTTAAGAACACGCATTCAGGCACATAGAAATGCATCTAAAATATTTGCAACCAACAACAGGGTTTTAGGTACATATTATGTGTGAGCTGATGACACTTCTTAACCAAACAACGTGAGAAACGCACTATCCGATGTGACTTACGATGATAGTGATATATCATAGAAATTATCTTTTCTTCAGTAATTTTTATATCTGCCTAGCTGCATAGCAGTGCTGCTTGTTCCGATCTGAAGGATATAAAGAGTCAGCATAATTACAGGCTGTGACGGGTTTCATCTTGACCCTCAAATGAGATAATGCATCTGTCCTTCGCGCCCTTTTTTCATTAAAGATAGATGAAGGTGTACATAGACTGTCATTTACCAACAGATGGTCTGTAAGTTTATTGCTACTTCGGTTTTATAAAAAAATTACATCAAAAACTTTTTTTTGATTGGACATTATAAAAAAAACATCAGACACGTACTCTTGTTCTCCTGAGAGCCAGGCGAGTGGTAGCCGCTCATCGGCATTAAGGCGCCCGGAGGCATGGCAGGTTGGCACTGAATCTCCGGGCTGCCAGCTGCGGTAAGCGTAAACAAGTTTGAATTTTATCACCATATACATAAAACCGTAAACCGTCAACACAGACATGGATTTCTACAATACTACACCGCAGACTTTTTGCACCTTAGACAATGCTTCCCAATATCGAAGGTACAAGATTTTTTCGCCGTTACCATACGGTTAAATAACTTTATATATATATATATTGACTTGACTTGGTGTCACATTCACTTTGACTTAAACTGACAGAGACAGCACGAGACTTAACGGCATCTTAAATCTGAACAGTGTTTGAGTATTAGGGCATAAGAGCCAACTATGCGTAATGCAAGACAGACCTTATTGATTCCGATAGATAGCGGTCAGGCCAACAAATAAAAAAGATGTAACTCTGCGTGTATTTCAAGTGACGCAAAAGTCAAGCAAAACCATGCTCAACTTATTGTCAGAACACGCACTCACATATAAATATGCATTAACACATTTGCCAAAATCATTCAATCATTTATTAATTACAGCTTAAAACTCCTTATCTTAGATATGCCATAGTCACCACGCAGTTTTTCATTTCCAATTATTATTAGGAAGACGCCGCTGCCCATTTCCTGGTTTGTTTCCCTCTGACGCCCATGACGCTATGACTGACCAGATCGTCCCGTGGATGACATAAGAATGTCAGCCACGGGACGATATGGTGGTGTTAATATGCTTACACCGCCTCTACACGGTAAAATGCTAGCAACGAAAATCATTTGCAACCAACAACATGGTTTTAGGTGCGTTCAATAGTGAATTGTGAACTTTTACGGGCTGATAACGAAAAAAAGAAGAAAGATGTGTGCGTGAGTGTGAAGTTTTTTGCGTCACTTGAAATATAATCATCGTGTGTTCCACATTGAACATAGAGTTGAACACAGAGTATGTCCAACGAGACAGGCCTATGATATGAAATAGATTGTGTTCTAGTCTTATTAAAAATGTCAATAATCAACTTCATCATCATTCATTTATCATTACAGTCCTTCACAAATCAACAGCTCAACAAAAGGCCTCCCCCAAGGAATGCCATAAAGCACGGTTCTGAGTCTCCCACATCCATCGACTTCCTCATCTCTTCTCATCGCATCTCTAACCAGATCGTCACTCCATCTAGTTAGGGCCGCCCTACACTTCGCTTATCGGTACGAGAAACCTTTCTTCCTATTCGGTTTCTCTACAGTTTATACTACCCCAAGGAATGCCATGAAGCACGGTTCTGAGTCTCCCGCATCCATCGACTTCCTTATCTCTTCTCATCGCATCTCTAACCAAATCGTCACTCCATCTAGTGAGGGCCGCCCTACACTTCGCTTACTGTTCTAGGAACTTTTCTTCCTATTCGGTTTCTCTACAGTTTATACCACCCCAAGGAATGCCATGAAGCACGGTTCTGAGTCTCCCGTATCCATCGACTTCCTTATCTCTTTTCATCGCATCTCTTACCAGATCGTCACTCCATCTAGTGAGGGCCGCCCTACACTTCGCTTACCGATACGAGAAACCTTTCTTCCTATTCGGTTTCTCTACAGTTTATACTCCCCCAAGGAATGCCACGAAGCACGGTTCTGAGTCTCCCGCATCCATCGACTTCCTCATCTCTTCTCATCGCATCTGTTACCAAGTAGTCACTCCATCTAGTGGGGGCCATCCTACAATTCGCTTACCGGTACGAGGAACCTTTCTTCCTATTCGGTTTCTCTATAGTTTATTCGTAAGGCTCAACAGCGGTTTGCGTATCGCTTACACACTGAAATTTTGATCTTTATTAATAATTTGTACATCAATAGTGTCTCTAAAGTCCCGTCATTTTATCTCATGGTGTACTTACAATGCTGCGTCATCATTGCGGCGTTGTGTGGTGGCGACTGTTGGCACGAGCCCTCTTCCATTCCGTCGCGATTCACATTATCGACCACCATGCTGGTAATCTGACAAACAAGAAATTTAATTACAATGAAATTATCCAATATGGCTTATAGGAAAGTGTTAACAATTGAGACAAGATAATTTCTTTTCAGTGGACTAAAATATTTCACAAGCTAACAAGGTAACTGGAACGTCGTCTAAATGTTACATTAAAAACTACATCCCTTATTATCCACCGTTGGGTAGGTGAAATTTTTCTTCAAATTTATGTGGAATCACCTTGAATTTTTAACCTTTTTAAATCTACTAAAATTACTTAAAAAATCTCTCGATGAAAGATCTCGCATGATTTTTTCTATATTGCCTTCTTAAACTGAAGACGCTCATGGATGATGGAGTTTTCTTTTGCCATCATCACATGGTAATAATGATTTTATATTTACAATGGTATAATTTATTTAACGGTTTAAAGCTAATGCTTGACTACTATACCAACAGATAGTAAGTGGTGATCTTGCCGAAATTATTGAGTGCGCTGACTAACCAAAAGCCTATTCCCTTTAGCCTTCAATACACTCACATTATAATCTGATTGAAAGACAGATGCTAGCAAATTATTCCACTGCATTGACCAAGCAAACCGCTTGGTTTGAGTTCATAATTTTAGATTTGGAATGAGTCAAATTTGGCGAAATCGGACAATAGAACTAAAGATTTCTATTTACACTACTAGACTGGCTCTGGGAACTTAATAAGTTCCGCACTAACTTACGGTCAATTCTCCGTAACTCTTTTAGTCGACAGCGAGCGGGCGAGAAGACTAGTACTTTGTTTTGAAAACAGCGAACATTGTTTTCAACAATCTAAAACTGATTTTGTTTAATGTGACTAAGAAAACGCTGTTATTATATATATAGGCAATTTGTTAATGTCAGTTGAATTTTATTTCAGATAATAATAATCTAACTTTATTGCGTATTTGCCCGCGACCGAACCCGCGCGATCCATAGTTGTGACACGGTTTTTGTTCCGAATTGCTGGTTGGTAGCATACGTAGAAGTGTTTGTATAGAACACAGTCTCTCACCTGTCGTTCATCCAGGCGTCGCGTGCAAGGCCAAGCACGCCGCGGCGGAGACAGCACGGCTCCCGTCGGCGATGGCGCCTCTTGCTTGAACACCGACAGCGAGGGCAGCGATAACAGGGCCTCGCTGACCGAACAGAATATATTTTTTATAATGTCTGAATGATATTATCTTTGGACGTATTCAATATTATTAATTTCAATAGCAGCCTTAACAGAGACTAGCCATCAACGAAAGTCAGGATAGCGCTCGAATGTATGTGCAAGCAAAGGTACTCTACTCTCTACTCTCTCACTCCCAAAGTCCGATGGGACGGTAATTCGACAGGATCGGAGAGAGATCAGGCGCAGAATCAATATCTTTCAATGCTTTCCGAAGCACGAGGGAGAAATACCGACAAATGTACTAACGCCGGACTTTTACTGAGTTTTTTTGACAGAAAAACCCAATAACTTTTGAACGACCTTGGATTTGAACCCAAGACCTTATGATCAGCAGCCGCACTGTCGACCATTAAACCATCGAGACAGTCAAAATAGTTATTATCAGGTAAAACAGCAGACCACGTACTGTACGCACACACGTTGATTGAAAGAGATGTATAGAATAGAATAATTTTTATTCAATATGGATTACAATAATATTTCTTAAAAGTTCCGTCCTGCAAAGAACCAACAATAAACCCAGCGGGACTTTTTTTTAAACATTCATTTACAATATAATATTTTTTGTAAATAAATATTGTTGAGGGCCACCATTATTGCCTGGTAAATGGCAACAGTAGTTACCACTAGCCCCCTCTAGTATCGGGTGGCAGAACTAGGAGAGTCAAGATGCTTGTAGAAATTTTCATGAAAGATCTGTCTAGAACTATCGACACCTAGTCAATCGGGACCGATGTACTTGGACATTCTAGAAGTATCTATAGTAGAAGGTTCTGGAACTATCTGAGGCCTTATATAAGGCCGGTATAGACCGCGACCGGCGTCAGCTGTAATTAGTGTTCTGTAACTAAACTGTCAATTTTGGTAATCCACTCGGCAGTTTTTAATTGTCTAGAACCCCAAGCTCGCAACAATATGCATATTGTAAGTGTGCTTATGAAATAAAAAAAAAACACTCTCTTCTATATCTGTCTTTTTTTTAAAGCAATTTTCTCAAGTAATATAATATGAAAAAAGCAACTTACTTCATGGACAGTTCACCGGGCAGATCGAGGTCTAGATCGTTGACCTGCCATCCCGGCGACATGTGCGACGACGACGAGCTGGCGCCGCTGCCGCCCATCTCGCCCAGTGACGCTGTAAGGAGAAGAAAAGTTTTCGTATATATATTCTATACTTCGCTTCCTTATTTTTATTGGGTTGTAGAACTCTTTTTCTGTCATCGAGTTTGTCTGGGTGTGTTCCTGCACTGCTGCGTTCCTGTTTAAAGGGTATAGGGAATCAGTATAATTACAGAAACGTCACGTAGAAAGAATGAACGAGGAAAGAGTGACAAAGGAAATTTATGTTTCAGAAGTGAACGGCAGGGTCGGGAAGGGACGCCCTAGACGAAGATTTATCGACCAAATCGGCGATACGTTGAAAATGGGCCAGATTAGGAGTACCCTTAACCGACGAGCGTGTATGCGTAAATATATGGATGTAAAGTAGGCGAGAGAGGTGTGTCAGGATCGCGCCAAATGGAAGTCCGTAGTCTCTGCCTACCCCTCTGGGTGACAGGCGTGAGAAATAAGCCTGTAATTGTATTGTATATAATTACACGCTTATTTGTTTGAAATTGGCTGCAGAAGGCCACAGTCTGCTCTAGCCACTTACCATCAGGTGGTCTATGGGCTTGTTTATAACTCTTATTTATATCAAAAAATCTATCTTAGGCCCATATTAATAAATGTTACTCAGCCCAAGTACACGCATTTGAGTACAATCTTGAGGTTCATCATCATCATTACAGCCCTTCACAAGTCCACTGCTGAACATAGGCCTCCCCCAAAGAATGCCACAAAACACGGTCCTGAGCCACCTGCATCCATCGACTTCCTGCATGTCTTACCAGGTCGTCACTCCATCTCGTGGGGGGACGCCCTACACTTCGCCTACCGGTACGAGGCTGCCACTCGAGAACCTTTCTTCCCCATCGGTTGTCGGTTCTTCGAGCTATATGGCCGGCCCACTGCCACTTCAGCTTACTAATCCGTTGGGCTATGTCGGTCACTCTGGTTCTACTGCGGATATCCTCATTCCTAAGTTTATCACGCAGAGAAACTCCGAGCATAGCCCTCTCCATAGCTCGCTGAGCGACCTTGAGCTTCCTCATATGGCCAGCAGTGAAGGACCACGTCTCAGTTCCGTAAGTCATCACTGGCAACACGCACTGGTTGTACAATTTCGTTTTAAGGTTTTGAGGTATGTCTGACGAGAAGATGTGTCGTAGCTTCCCGAACGCTGTCCAGCCGAGTTGAATCCGTCGATTGACCTCTCGGTCGAAGTTGGACTTACCCAGTCGGACTATTTGTCCCAGGTAAACATACTCGTCAACAACTTCGAGCTTAGTGTTCCCAACAACTATCGGCATAGGTGTGACATGGACATTAAACATGATCTTAGTTTTGTCCATGTTCATCTTAAGACCTATCCGTTGGGAAACACTATTAAGGTCATTGAGCATAGTGCTTAGGTCCTCCAGCGATTCTGCCATAAGGACTATATCGTCGGCAAATCGAAGGTGAGTGATGTACTCGCCATTGATGTTGATACCGTATCCTTTCCAGTCCAGAAGCTTGAAAACGTCTTCCAATGCAGCGGTGAAGAGTTTCGGGGATATGACGTCACCCTGTCTTACACCTCTCTGCAATTGGATAGGTTTCGTACTCTGGTTCTGTACTCGGATAGCCATCGTAGCCCTACTGTACAAGCACTTCAACACTTCGATATACCGACAGTCAACTTGGCACCGCTGAAGGGACTGCAGCACCGCCCAAATTTCGACGGAATCAAAGGCTTTCTCATAGTCCACATACGCCAGACATAGTGGCAAATTGTACTCTTCGGACTTCTGTACAACTTGCCGAAGGGTATGTATGTGGTCTATGGTGCTAAAGCCCTTTCGGAAACCGGCTTGTTCGGGAGGCTGGAAGTCGTCAAGTCTGCGCGCGAGACGATTCGTAATGACTCTCGAAAACAGCACGTAGACGCGGCTCAGAAGGGAAATCGGTCTGTAGTTCTTCAAGAGAGCGTTGTCACCTTTCTTGAAGAACAAGACCACCGCACTTCTGCTCCACGCCTCCGGTGTAATGCCACCATGGAGGACGGAATTAAAGAGCTTCTGAAGGACTTCAAGTACCGGTCTTCCACCCGCTTTCAGAAGCTCCGCTGTAATTCCATCCTCGCCTGGGGCCTTACCGTTTTTAAGGTGCTGGAGAGCCATCCTAATCTCGCTCAGACTGACATCCGGGATATCTTCGGAATAGTGTCGGATGAGACTCGCTCTTGGATCGTTACTCACACTTGCGTGTGGCTCCAACGATGATGTGTACAGCTGCCCATAGAACCTCTCAATCTCACTCAAAATCTCAGGTGTCCCGGAAACGATGCTGCCACATTCTGTCTTCAGCTTTGACAGTTGGCTCTTTCTGGCAGACAGATCTCTGGCAAAGACTTTGGAGCCTTGGTTCCGCTCGATCGCTTCTTCAATACGAGCTGTATTGAAGTTGCGTAAGTCCCGCCGCATGCATTTGGAGATCTGTCTGTTCAGATGCCTGTATGCTGTCAAGTCTGTTGAAGAATGTAGCTTCATCTCCCGTCTAACAGCCATATGATATTATTAATAAACATGTCTCAAGATGCGATTTAGGTTTACGATATCAGCTGAGTGCCACACTGATTTAAGCGTTTCCCACACAGAAGCGGCTTGCGGTGGCGGCCGCGGTGGCGGCCAGTTGTATTCGCTAGCAATGTAAGTGAGTCTCCAAACCCATGCGGCCATGGCGCGGCCTGCGAGCGGCTGGCCGCGGCCGCATGCTCCGCCCCATTTGCCAATGCGTGTGTGTTAGCGCGTACGCGGTCAGTCGGTGGCTGCAGCGCGGTCAGTTGTAAATTTTTACAACAGGCCGCGTGTACCGCGTGAAAAATGGTGCTAAATTCAGAGATTTTAATAGAAACAGTGCAAAATTATCTAGTACTTTATGATAATTCGCATTGTGATCACAAAAGCATTAGTATTAAAACAAAATATATGATAATATTGCTGAATATAATAAAGACTTCGTCACGGTTTGTCATGTTCGTACGTCCGATCGTAGCACAGACACCACAGCGAATGGCGCTTCAGGCCGCCACTTGGGCCGCGGTGGTGTGTTGTTACAGCGGCTGCAGCCGCGGTCCGCGGTTAGCCGCCACCGCAAGCCGCTTGTGTGTGGGAGACGCTTAATAAACGAAACTCGACTCTCAAGTGTGTGTACTTGAGTGCAAGTCACAGAACAGTATTCCTAAGTACAGCGTTTTGATATACTGTTTTTATGTTTTTATTAATTAGCAACGATCTTCAGATGCTAATGTCATAATGAGGGCGTATCAAATGATTACGCACTTCCGTTCGTCGTTGAGTAATGTTTATAAATACGGGTCTTAGTGTTCAAAATCATAAATGAGAGGAGGCCTGAGCCTAGCAGTCGAACGTACAAAGGCTTTTTTTTTACTTTACTTTTAAATCTACATTGCACCTGAAGTAGCAGCAAATATCCATAAACTATATTGTGTGTTTTTATCTTAAATGACATAAAAGGGCTTAATAGGAACGTGACGATGTTTTAAGCAGTTTTTGGGGTTCTGGTGTCAAGTATAAAGAACGAAATTACCTTACGGAAAAGAAAGGAATATCATTTATATAAAAGGCCAATTTTACTTTCTCAGTGGTATCATTAGTAGCCCAAATTTTTATTTACGAGATTGTCTCGTAGATTGTCAACGACGACGGAATCTACGGGGGACGCTTATTTTGAACAGATAGACCTTCTACCTTTAGGCGTTTTACAAGATACATTTCAGAGAATGTACGCAGGAGTTTCATGACCTAATTTCTCCCTCTCCGTTCCATCATCGCACTACGACATGCACGGCTGGTCTCTAGTCTCCACCCCTTCGTTCTCGACATAACGCGCATTCGAACGGTTTGTGCTTAGTTGTTCGGTAATGCGTATAGGAAGGGGTAAAATTCGTATGATCTGTCTTTTTATTCCATTACAAACAGAGTGCCTTTAAAGCAAGAGTGAATAAGTTTCTTTTGCGTTATGTCGCTGCGCATTGCCACCTTCGACTGCATCGCCACTTACCATCAGGTGGGATAGTAATCAAGTACTGACTTAAAATATCTATACAAATAAATAAAATTGAAGTGTCTGTTTGTAATGACCAAATTACAGCGTTTTACTAAATGCATATGAAAGTATAAACGGTACATAGAATACACAAAAGTACACTTTTTAAAATTTTTGTCTGTCTGTCTGTTTATTCTGGCTAATCTCCAAAACGGTGGAACCGATTTTGACGGGACTTTCACTAGCAGATAGTTGATGTCATAAGGAGTAACTTAGGCTACTTTTATTTAAAAAAAATAATTAGTGTTCCAAAAAAATTAAAACCCGAACCCGAACCCGAGGGGAACAGCCCTTTAAAAATAAAACTTAATAATTTATTGCAACATTGTAAGGTAGGACAACGAAAGAGTATATAAAAGGACTAGGGATACCAAATCATTTATACCAAATATAGTATTTTCGAAGCTATCACTTGTCAACATACAGTAAATAAAAAAAATATTATTGATTTATTTATTATCGAAATACAGTATGTAAATGTTTTATTGAAAAATATTCGAAATGACGGATTTAATGTGATATTTGTTAGATAAGAATGCGACTCTGATAAGCTTTGATGTTGAAGATTGCCTAAACCTAAAAATATATTAGGTAAATAAATTCCTAATCAAACATGTGGCTTCGCGTGGCTACGACACGAGACAGTTTTATCAGTGGGGTCGCTGGCAATTATATGAACGATTGCTCTGAGCCGATTAATTAACTGGTTACTCTTATCGCCATTGTCCAGTTCTCTGGTGAAATGTGAAGACGGTAGGTAATGTTTGTTTTGATATGGCCTAGATTATTACTGCTAAGTTTGATAATGTTTCTAGTACTTACTTATCACACTGTTGGAAACATACTCACTTACTGTAAAGTTTAATTTTTATTATTATTGGTATGATCTCGATTACATCGCCACCTATCGGGTCAAATTGTGAA